CACTTTTGCTTAAATCCTGCATCATGTTAATTTCATTTTCTAACATGATGATGGGTTTTTTGTTTTTGTCCTTTTTAAACATAGCATACCTTTCTGGTTCTCCTTAAGTGTTAAGGTCATAATAGGTATGTACAAAATATTTTTTTCCATTTAAACCATGTTCAGAGGAATGTGAATCTGATATAACATTTTAAGGCTGTGTAACACTTTTTTGGTGAATTTCCATGAGGACTCCAATTCCACACAAATGCCAGAGCATTGTACTAAATTATGGCAAGCCATTCTCTTACATCTGCATAACACAATGTTAGAAAATATGGCGGGCCTGCTCAGGTGAGCCACGGAAAATAAAAAGCAAAAGTAAATCATTGTGGAAGCCACAGAGCCCAGTGCTCTAACACGTGGGGGCCCAGCTAAAGGTACTGTCACACTGTGTGCTGAGCCCCCTTGATATGTATGAGTAGGAACTCCAGCAGAGAGTGGTTATCCTGTGCCCGTGTTAGTTTTTCAAAACTACAATTTTGAAGTCTGCTTGATTTGAAATATATAGGTATTTGTGTGCAAGACAGTGCTATAAGGTTTTACTCAGCTTTTTATGAGGGGTATATATGGGATATTTAAATGAAGAAACTTAAAGGAACACCTGTCCTGGGCTTTAGGCTCTGTGGCTGACCTTTTCCTCCCACCAATCCTCAATCAGAAAAACGTGTAAATCAAAGCAGATATTTCATTTAACTCTGGTTCTTCCCACTATGTCACAGGCCACGACCCCTCCCCCCCTTCCTTAATTTGTAGTTAAGTCCTTCGTGTAGTGGGGGGTTTTGAGGCTGTGCAGTGCTATGGAATATCACTACTTTTCCCCTTGTGTGGTCTTTTTGACCAGTTTGTCACACAAGATCTTATGTTGTCTCTTCTTCAAAGCACACAGGCCAAGGGAATGAGTGAACTTCTGGGTTTGGGAAAGCATTCTGCTAAAGTGGATAGCCACAATGGTCTTGGGCATGGGCACTGGCATTATAGTTTCCTGGACTTAACATATTTTAAGGGGTTTCTGTCTCAACCCAAATCTGTCTTCATCATAATTTCAATTTTTAGAAAACTGTACACAGCTATGTAACATTTCTCATCACTAATTGCTTTTTAAAAATTGGTATGTTAGCAGTCAACAGAGCTGTTAGAAATTTATTGGACACTGAGTCCCTTTTGGGTTTTTTAAATCTTATTTGCTTATGAAAATGCAGCTTTTTTTAATGCCTAGTATTTTCTGCTTTTTAAGAATTTTTGCTTAAGGCTGCTTCTCATACAGGAGAACATATGTATGATCAAATTCCATTATTAGCTGCACTACTTATTATGAGTTTTGGTATACGTGGCCTTTTAAGTATTGTGTCTGCTCTGGAATCTTAGAGGAAAAAAATTGCAAATTTGAATGATCACCCCCAAAAAGGCAAAGGTGGGACAAAGGATTGTTTTAATGTAAATCTATGCGGTCCCTTCAGGAGTAGCCACCATTTTATAAGGTTCTTCATAGCAGAAACGAAATGGTGGCACAGAGGACAGCTGCCCTGTCATATACACACTCTTTCTCATTGCTTGTACATTTCCTTACTCATTCAGTCAATGTTTATGAACACTTTTTAAGAAAGGTCGGGTAGATTTATTTAAAATCATCCTTATACACGGGACAAAAGGGTCATTACAAATTGTGTGAAGTAACTAAAGGAAAATTTTAAAAATGCAGAAGATTCTTTGACACTAGTGTGAAGATATTGGGAGGGGGGAAATATTTCTAATGAATGCAGTACTGGGTGCTGCAGAGGAGCCACTTACTGGCTAGTAGGCAAAGTAGATATATTTATCTCTGACAATGTGTGTAAGTTTATCGTTTGTGTCTGGGAGTTGCTTCAGCTCATACAGCCTGTTAGTTTTCTAATTTTTTTTAAGCAACATGCATGTGTGTTCTGTGGCACAGTAACTTTTATCCCACACTTCTTCTGTGTTGTAAAGTAGCAACACCTCTCTGATTTGGAAAATAGATGAAGATAGACTTAGTTACAAATAATTTATTGTATTCATAACACATGTAAAATGTCACCGTATTTTTCTCCTTAAAACACAGGCAGCATTGCTACTTAGGTATATTAGAGGTTTTAATATGAATCTGTCCTTAAAGCTTTTTTCTTCCTGCACTTTTCCAAACAAAAGCTTCACAGTACACTTATTTTTATGTAATATTACAAATCCATAACATTAGACTTTTCAAGATTTTAATTTGACTGTGAAAACTTTTTTTAAATTTTTTTTGCAGTCTTGAACTGAAGTCTTTATCTTTCTGTAACCTGAATTGGGTTGATATACAGTAATTAAGACTTGGAACACTGTGGTGATGTTGGCAAAAGCAGAATCAAAGTTGGAAATGCTGTTAGAGATGCCATGAAGATGAAATACAGTCATTTTAAAAAATGAATTTTAAGTATTTTCACTTACTACAGCTGTCCCAGCATTCACAATTTTGAGTGTTTCCTGTCTCTATTTAAAAAAAATGTCTGTTCCTTTTTGCTGTGTGAGAGACCCACACAAATGGGGGGAAACTGATAACAGAGTTAACATAGAAACTGACCATACACAAAGTGCTGTCAATTGAACAAGAAATAAAGAAGAAACAAAAACATTTTGCTCTACATTTGTTAAACTAATTTTGGGTGTTACTTGTCGTAATAAGATTTTCGACAAAAGTGTAACTTCTAAGTTGATTCAGTTTCTCTTAGTACCAGTTTTCTTTCACTCGCTCACAAACTTTCTCATGAATTTGGTTTTATGCAGCTAATGGTCCCTTTAGCCTCAGCTGTAAGCTCAACTTTATGCAGCTCCTGTGCTGCTCCCAGCTCTGAAAGTGAATAGGATTGATGCCTATGGTGGTGTGTGGAAAAAATTCCCTGGAAATATCTGTGTTTTTGTTTAAAACCCTAGCTCTGGGATGTCAAATATATGGCTTGTGGGCCAGATTTGGCCCATGCGATGCCCACCAAAAGGTTTCTTGAACCTTCCTTTGAAGTATCTGGTACAGAATACTAGACTAGTTGGACTTAACTGATCTGACCTGATATCGTGATTCATATGTTAGAAACTGTTGGCCTTCAGGGATATTTTTGTGCGTTAACAGCTAAAGAAAACAGAAATGTCAGAAGATCACTGCAGGAAGGCACACTACAATATCTAACTTTTTAAAAAGTAATAAATTAAATCTGTTGTTTGTGCAGTCATCAGCAGGCATGTAGACCAGACGATCATAATAGTAAAGCCTAGGGTTTGGTGGAAAATATCTTATGATGTCATGGGTTTTAGATGTGGGGATCCATGGGAAGAGATAAGATTGAGGGAAAGAAAGTAAATATAGAATTGGAGATTCACAAGTGTCTTGTACTATGCGTGCATTAGATGTGGAGGATGACAAAAATCAAAGCAGAGGAAAAGGAAAAAGTGTATTAACAATCTGCTGATGCCTAGTGGACATTTTTCTTCATTGTATTTGGAAACTTTTAACATTGTGGGTTTTTTCCTCATTTATTCTTTATTACCATGAACATTTGCACAAAGAAGGAATGAATCTTTGTTTAATCATCTGTTTCTGATGGTGATGTGATTGTGACTTAAAACCTCTGGAATTCCTTTACATGTATGTAAATAAGGATTAGGGAATTATTAGGGGCTGGGGCTGTTCTTTACCAGTGCTTGTAAATCCTATTAATTAACAAGAATGACTAGACCCTTTTATGATTTAAACTACAAAACTGTATCCAATAGATATTAGGCACCTCTTGTCTTAAATAATTTCATTATAGAAAGCGTTTCCCACAAATATTAAATTACTGAATGACACTAGCTTCAATACTTATAAAGATTCTGTCCTGTGAAAATGAAATGCAGTTTCACTCCATTACTCTCAATATATGCAACAGCTTTGCTTTAGAATAAGAAAAACGGAACATCTGGAAAATACAAGAATTCTGGTGTGAAACTAATTTCCAAAAAATAATCAGAATGAGCTGTTTAGTTTTAGAATATGAAGATTGGTCAGTAAGAATATGCTGTGGGAGATTTTTATCTTCTGCTCAATAATTTTAGGATCTCTATCACATTTTCACTTTTATATGCACAGTATGACTGTCTTTGCTATTCACAAATCAACAGTGTTTCTTTGGAGGAGAAGGTTAGCTGTAGCTTTCCCGGGGGGCGGGGGGAAGCGGCGGGCAGGAAGGAGATCTTAGTGGAATGTGTACTTTGCTCAGTACCTCCTCCTCCCCCCCCCGCCCCGCCTCCTCACTTCTCTGCTAGGCAAGGGGGCAGAGGTAGAGATCCTATCAGCTGTCTACAGAAGTGCATCGCAGAGTAAGAGACATTTTAGTTTCGGAGATGTCAGTGTACCCTCATTTGTGTGAAACAATTTAAACTATGACATGACTGAAGTCATCTTGGACATATCTGCAGCATATTGGAAATCTGAGTTATGGTCCGTTCTAGCCTAATTGATTTTGCTAAAAAAGACTTACAGGGCTTGTTTTTCATTTGTAGGCATGTTTAGGTGGTCATATAGAAAGAGGACTGAGGCAGATGCTGAAGTTGCATAAAGTTAAATATGAGAACGTCAGTACTTAGATTTGTATAGTTCTAAAAAATTAAATACGTCTTTCTAGTTGGATTTTTTTATTAATAAATGTTTTACAGAAGTGTCAGCCTTAAGGCTTAAACAAACAAAAATCTCCAAACCTAACTGTGCAATAAATGCTTTCTTTTCTCTGATAAAGCTTTGCTATATTGCTTTGTGCAGACTAATAAATCCTTTTGAATTGCAAATCTTACTACTGCAAACTGAGTGTTGTATTACAGAAATCTCCTCTTCTGTTTTCCCTTTCTTATATCTTGATTTTGATTCTTTCCTTTAGATCATGGCTTGCATGACATTTTATCTTTCTTTTCCTTTCTTTTTGCTGTTTGCAAAGACTCTTGGGAGGATTTGACAGATTTGGTGGAGCAATTGCGTGATGATACTGAAGGTGCGTGCCACACCAACATCTTTCAGCTATTATTTCCTCTTTTAATTGGCTTTTAATGTGTTACTTTGATCCTGAGCACCAGCTACGGTATTCTTTTGCAATGACAATAACTGTGGCTCTGCAAATATGCTTGTCTGATTGAACTGGGTTCAAAGCCTAAATATACCAGACTAGTTGCTTTCTGGTATTGATGTGTAGTTACTACTGTTAGGGTTCTAAAGAAAATATCTTCAGTCACTATAAGCATATGTGCATGTATTTTTGAGTTTTACTTATTTACATTTTGAAAGGATATTGTGAAGAGTTTTGGTTCCAAATTTGCTCTAACTTGACGTTGGTCCCATCTGGATAGTCTTGCCTTCTAAATGCTTTGTTAATTTATTCTTTTTAAAATAATGGAAAAACAAAAAGCAATTGATATTCCTTAGTAATAAATTAGCATCTGCCACACCTCTCAACCAGCGACAGTTCCTGTGTGTAAAGACTTAAAATGAAGATGAGACAATTATGGGAACTGTAAAAGATGTGGGATTAACTTCTTTATCTTGATGTATGCTGTCTTTGGCTGTCATCTTCATGAGCCAACAGTTGTATTACCTCTCCCACTTTCTCTCTCTAATGTTTTGGGACCAACGTGGCTACAGCAACACCGTATACAACAGTTATAATGTAAATTTACAGGGTAGAGCAATATAAATCAAAGCAGTTTTAAATAATTGATTAAAATCACTTGAATTTTAATCAATTGTGGATTTACGTCATGTTGAAGTTTTGTAAAACTAACTTGAAAACTTGTGCTATTATATAACCAAATTAATTACAAATTCTTTTTAAAAATATAGTGGTAGGGTATCTTCTTTGAATGTTATAAAACAGCTATAGGCAAAAACCAAAATATTAATATTTTCTTAGTGGATAAAATCTTTGTCACTTAAAACAAAATTGCTTCAGCATTAATTAAATTTTTTTAGACTTTAAATACCTTAGCACAATAATTGTGAACTCTTTTATACGTACAGGCCAAGTTTTCAAAACTAGGAGCCTAAAGTTAGGCTCTTAAGCCCAAATTTAGGCACCTGAGAATGGGATTTTTAAATGTACCTAAATGATTTAGGTGCTCAGGTCCCATTATCTTCAAACTGCAGACCGTTATAGAGAGGTATAGCCTTGTTGAAGCATTTCAACTTTCTTGACTTGTGGAGGCTCAGTATATTGGAAGGTAATGTTGGTTGCAAATATAGGAGAGGCTGATTGCTTATCAATGTTGTGTTTTGATTGAGTTTGTGGTGTTCTCATAATAAGGATGTTAATGAGGTCCTGGATTAGTTTTTTACAGCATAGATGATGATTTTAAGTGTGAAATCTACAATCTGAAGTTCTACTAACAATTAGGAAGCTAATTAAAGAAACATATAAAATATCTAGTTTAGCAATTTAAGATTATAAAATGGGAAGAAAGTAAAGAGCTCTTTACATGTAAATAAAATATCTTATTTAAATAAGAAAAAAATATTTTTTATAAACTGCCAAGATTTTTATCTTCTCTGATAATTTATAGTAGTGAAGGCAAGATACCAAGGCAAGCTTGATGAGAGATGGATATACATATTGTACTTACATTTGATATATAGAAGAGCCTCTTAAGTGTGTAACAGTGGGGTTTTTTAATTTCTTTTTTGTTTGCTTTAGGAAAATATTTAATTATTGTAAATGACCCAAAATATCAATAGACATTTTACAATTACATTGACTTGATATGTATAGGTACATATCTTAATACAGAGTTTATAATATTAAGTAACATATATTGATCTATCATTAACATTTCCCTTTTTAAACAAGTTTATTTAAACACAAACTCAATGTGCACGTGCATATATGTGTATATATTATCAGTGGTTCACCAGGGATATGTGTGTCACTGGGGGTACTTGGAGGTCTTCCGGGGGTACATTAACTCATCTAGATATTTGCCTAGTTTTACAACAGGCTACACAAAAAGCACTAGTGAAGTCCGTACAAACTAAAATTTCATACAGACAATGACTTGTTTATATTGCTCTGTATACCATACACTGAAATGTAAGTAAAGTATTTATATTCCAGTTGATTTATTTTGTAATTTATATGGTAAAATGAGAACGTAAGCATTTTTTCAGTAACAGTGTGCTGTGACACTTTTGTATTTTTATGTCTGATTTTTTAAAAGCAAGTAGTTTTTAAGTGAGGTGAAACTTGGGGGGTACTCAAGATAAATCAGAGTCCTGCAAGAGTACTGTAGTCTGGAAAGTTTGAGAACCACTGTATTATACCATTGATATATGCTTTGGGGGTCGGGGGAAGTTGAACATTTTCCTGAGGAGGGGATGGGGTGAGGAGGAGAAAAGAAAGCTAATGGGGGCAAAGGGGTTAATTCAGTTATCCTTTCTGTATGTCTTCCTTGACAATCCTCTAGGATTACTGTGTCTACATGAGAGTATCTCAGTTATTTCAATATTGCTGTTGTATTGTTTTCCTGTGTAAGGTATACTAAACTCCTTTTTAAAAAAATGTTCATGTAAGGAGTTCCAGATCATGTAAATCCTTTTAGCTGTCCGGGAAAGTCAGTTTGAGGCACAAAAACATTTACAGACTACTTTTAATGATGTTAATAAGGCTTTCTGTTAAAATGTTGTATGCTTTTGCTTCTAACTGCGTTGTGTTCTAAATACAGCTGTGCCTTCTCCTTATTATGGGAAAAGTATCGCACTTTAGCCTTAAAGTTATTTAGATTTTGAATGTATTTCCATGGAGAGGATATTCAAGGTCACCTGCAAAGGGAAAACATTGTTTGTCTGTTTTTTCATCATGATGTAAAAAAGAGAGCCTGTAGTTTGGGGGCTTTCTTTTGCTTGTTTTTTTCCTGAGATGTATTAGAAATATCAAGATTGTCTCTTCTCCTCCCTGCCCCTCCTCTTCTGTTTTTTGGAGGAAAGACTCCTTGGGTGACTCATGTATAGGGAGCTTTCCTGGTCCTTAACAGAAGAGGTTGCTAAATCCTTAAGAAAAAAAACCCAAACATTATTTGTTAAGTGTCCAAATAAAATAGATGTTAACAAAAAAAAAATTAAAAAAAACTTTTTTAAAAAAAAAAAGTCTGAATAAAAATTACTTCCCCTCTAAAAAAAATTAAAAAAAATAAAAAACCAGGGTTCCTTTCTTTAATATCTGTGTTGTTATCTTGCCAGTTTTCCAATTCTCCTAGTTGTCCAGAGTAGACAAGACTTGAATTTATAATGTAAAAAAAGCAAGAAGGAAGAAAAAACTTTTTGCAGAAACATACTCTGCTTTCAGAGTAGTAGCCGTGTTAGTCTGTATCTGCAAAAAGAGGAGGAGGACTTGTGGCACCTTAGAGACTAACCAATTTATTTGAGCATAAGCTTTCATGAGCTACAGCTCACTTCATCGGATGCATTGAAGTGAGCTGTAGCTCATGAAAGCTTATGCTCAAATAAATTGGTTAGTCTCTAAGGTGCCACAAGTATTCCTTTTCTTTATAATCTGCTTTGTTACATTGTAAAGAAACAAGTTACAAGCCTTTTTTTTTTTTTTTTTTTTTCTTTGCAGGTCACCTTTAAGAGAACTGCTTTGCGTGTGTGGTACTCTGAGCATTTATTCCCACTTGTATTCCTTTTCCTTAAAATGGCAGCCAGTGAACTGTAACACTTGATGAAAGATTAAAACTGAGAGCATGTCTACATGAGGACCGTCAGGAACGTTAAACTGAATTAACTGAAGTTGTGAAGTGGATGGTCTCATTCAGAAGTAAAGTGGCGGTAGTTCAGTTCAGTTTAATCCTCCTCCAGTAAATTTAAGGCCACTTTACACCCATGTGGACATTCTCATTCATAAGTAATGTGCTTTAACTTCACACCTTTAGTTAATTCCTCTTTATTTTGAGTTGGCTTGTCTATGTGGGGACCTGAGAGATGCTGGATTTTATAACTTTCTTTTAACTCTGTTACAGTTATTACTGATTTTATTTTCCATTCCAGCTACCAGAACTTTGCATAATATTCCTCCGGAGAGATTGTCAGTACAGCCTCAATTAGTTGAGATTCCCTGTAATTTAGAAGTGTCATGTCCCTGAGTGTCTCTTAATTACACTGAAAAATTTATTTGTCCAAACTTACCTGATGCCCTTCATTACTTCTGTAAAAATGAGGTTGTACTGTAATTTTCTAATGTAAGCTCATCTTCTAAATTATTTTAGTGCATTTTGAACAAGCCACTGATCACTGCTGTAGAATGTACATTGTTAACTGGCAGAAATTGTATTTGGAGGCAGATACAAGATGTAGAACTGCAAGAAGCTGAGCACATTGAGGGAGGGATAAATGAGCTCCTCAAAAAGAGAGACTGCAAATTTATACTTTCCGTAAATTTTCCCTATCTTGATGATTCACTGTCTCCTATAATGTTTCCAGGGGGCTTTACACACCTTTGGAAATTCTATTTATAAACTAGCAATGGATGTAGTCTCTCTAGATGCACTTGAAATTATACCAGACTTCGAAGTTCAATAGTTTGAGCTGCTAAAATTAATTGGTTGTATACAAATGAGTCTGGATGCTAACTGAGGTTTTGTCTACACTATACAGCTTTTAGTGACACGGCCTTGTTGCAAAAAGTCGGCCAGCGTAAACGCTGTTTGTCGTTACTTTTGCTGACAAAATACAGTACTTCCACCCCCTACAAGTGGGATTTGTGTTGTCAACAGGAGAGCCTTCTGTCAATCTAGCACTGTCTATACTGAGGGCTAGGTTGGCTTAACTATGCCGTTCAGGGGTGTGGATTTTTCACACCCCTTAGTGACGTAGTTAAGCTGACTTGATTTTCTAGTGTAGACCAGGCCCAAGACAGAGCGTGATATTGTCTGTGGTGTGGGGCTTGTTCACTTGGCAAAAATAGTGCTTTGCAAATATGTAATTGGGATAAACCAATAACACTTCAAAATACTT